CATGGTTGTGGAGAGGGGACGGGGAGAGGAGCGGGGAGCCCTGTGCAGCTAAAGAAGCAGACGTCCCTAAAATGTGGTAATTAAAGGAAAGAGAGGTCCTTTTTTTTTGCTGCCTGCTTCCCTGAAAATGAGGGAGTATCCCCAGCTGCCCTTCCTTCCTTCTCCCCCTGTCTCTTGTCTGACTTGCTTCCCTTCCCTGCCGCCTCGATCCCTGACATTGCTGTCAGCTGCCTATTACTAAGAGCAGTGTCTTTCTCTCCCCTTCTACTCCTTCACTGTCCAGCTCTCCTCATCTGCTGCCCTCTGCCTTCTGCTCCCACCACTGCACAGAAACTGCCATCTCCTGAACTTCCTGGTGACCACGTCACCTCCACACCCTAGGCTTGTCAAACTTCAGGATCAGAATTGCTTGGAGGGCTTGAGAAGCTGGGCCTCAGCCCTGGCGTTTTGGACCTACTAGGTTCCAGCAAGTTTCCAAGAAATCCGTGCTGCAGAGCCACAGATAGCACCCTGAGAGACACAGGTGGACCAGGTCAAGCATAAACTCAGGGTCCCTCCAGTGTGGCCAAGCTCAGCTCTGTAACCTCATCTAGCAGCGCGCCGGCCTGCTCTTCCCTGAGCGTGACACGGAAGTCATCACCTTGGCTCTTCTTGTCTGGGTGCCCTCTTGCTTTTCCTTCTCCACCTGCTCATTTGTTTCTTAGAACCTAGCTCGGAGGTCATAGCTTTCTGAAATGTTCCCTCCCTTCCTTCACAGTAAAAGTTACTTGTACTTCTTCTAAAAAGGTTAATCAAACTGTTTTGACTCAGTGACTCACTTATTAACTTGTTTAGCTATGATTGGGTTGGAATCCTTGTCCTTTTAGACGCCTAAAATTTTTGCAGGAAGAAGACCTTAAAAAATTATCTTCAGGGTCTGGGGATTTGACTCAGTCATTCTGCCACCTGCTTTGTAAGCGCTTGCAAGGGCCTGAGTTCGATCCCCAGTGCCAGTAAATAAATAATCAATCAATCAATCAATCAACCTTCAGGGGCCGGGATTTAGCTTAACTGTGCCAAGCCTGCCTGGCCAGCACAAAGTCCTGAGTTTGATTCCTGGTACTGAAAAAAAAAAAATTATCTTTAGTGGAAGGCAGCAGGTACTGGGGTTTAAGAGAATCCTTTATTGATGGAATAGATGTGTTTTGCACAAGAAGAGTACCCGAAAATAGGACCAGGAGGGTGGGAGGTTGGCGGCTGAAGCATCTGCTTGTCCTTGCTGCTGGGTTCCTCCATCCTCCTGTCTTCTTCACCTTCATAACACCCTGTCCCGGCTTCTGACACCACTGCGTCTCCTCCACTACCAAATGCAGTCTCTAAGCTGTGATCTGAAGCTTGGGAAAGGAGACTGCTTTGCTGAAGAAAGAAAGGGCCATTCCTGCAAACGGCAGGAACATGCAGTTAGAACATCGCCTGCCAGCTTCCCTGACCCTTCGTCCTGCCTCTTGCTGGATTCTTTCTTCCCCCTGCTGATTCACTGCTGGGGATTAACCAGGCTTCACTTCTGAGCGTCTTTACTTTCACCTCTGCATTTATTGCCTAAGTCCATTCACTGATGCAGCAAAGTCCAGGGTTTCTCGAGCTTTACAACACATCAGAGTCACCTGGGGCTCTTGTTAGAGTGCAGATTCTGACTCAGTGGGCGTAAGAGCGTGCGTTTCTGACGGACTCACAGCTCATTCCCCGTGGCTGATCTGTGGCAGCACCTTTAGAAGTACTTTTGCCAGCTGTGTGGGACAGTTCCCCACCTGGAGCTTTGAACTTGGGACCAGGCGCAGAAACCAAAAAGGAATGAGAAGAGCGGAAATTTGCTCAGTGTTTACTGTACACCAGGCTTTGTGCTGAGCTTCCCGCATACTGCGGCTTTTAATCTGCGGAACACTCCTAGTGAGCAGGATACGGCCATTACTGCTGTTACTGTGTTCATTTTTCAAATGGAAACACCTTTGGTCCCTGAGCCAGCTGTGCTTCTGACTGTGCTGAGGCGAGGCACACCCTGCACTGCCCAGGGTGGCACGGTGGCAGGGCACACGAGTGCTTCCTAATTAGCCACTGCACCTCAGGTCCCCCTGGCTGCAGGAACGCCCTCCTGCCCTCGAGAAGTGTGAGGAAGCCCAGAGAGTGGGTTCAGAGGTGACCTCTTGCCCACCTGTCAGGCATGCGCCAAATTTGAAAACTGCCTCTTTTTCAAGCTTCTCAGTACTTCACAATATTTTGACATGGGAAGGGGAAAAAAATGGAAATGCTTTGAAACATTTCTCTTCCTTGAGTTCTCATTCTCAGACCATGTGACTGAATTGAAGTTGAGTCATAGGGCTCCAGTTTAACATATGCAGTTACTATAGCAATTGAGGTTTCCTTAGTAACAGTTGCAAAAAATAATCTGGCCCCAATTAATAATACATTTTAAAGCTCTTTTTACATGATACTGAGCATCCCAGGTTTTTTTTTTTTTTTTTTTTTTTTT